AGAATGGGAGAAAACATTCACATGCTATACCTCTGATAAAGGGCTAATAACCAGAATCTACAAAAAACTCAAGCAAATCAGCAAGAAATCATCAAACAACCCCATTAAAAAGTAGGCAAAAGACATGAACAAAAGCTTTTTAATAGGAGATAAACTAATGAGTATAAACATATGAAAAAATGCTCAAACGTCACCATCATCAGACAAATGCAAATCAAAACCACAAGGGGATATCACCTAACCCCAGTGAGAATGGCTTTTATTAAAAAATCCCCAAATAATAGATGCTGGCATGGATGTGAAGATAAAGGAACACATAAACACTGTTGGTGGGGACTGCAAACTAGTACAACCTTTATGGAAAACAGTATGGAGATTCCTCAAAGAACTAAAAGTAGACTTACCATTTGATCCAGCAATCCAACTACTGGGTATTTTCCCAAAGGAAAAAAAGTCATTTTATCAAAAAGACACTTGCAGTAGAATGTTTATTGCAGCATAATCCACAATTGCAGAGATGTGGAATCAACCCAAGTGCCCACCAATTCATGAGTGCATTAATAAAATGTGGTATATGTATACCATGGAGTACTATTCAGCCATAAAAAAGAATGAATTAATGCCTTTTGCAACAATCTGGATGGAATTGGAGACCGTTCTCCTAAGTGAAATATTGCAAGAATGGAAAAACAAACACCATACGTACTCGCTATTAAATTGGAACTAACCGATCAGCATTCATGTGCACAGGTGGAAGTAAAACGCAGTGGAAATTAAGCAGGTGGGAGGGCAGAGAAGCGGATGGGAGAAATCCTACCTAATGGATATAATGTACACTATCTGGGTGATAGGCACACTTATAATTTTGACTTAAGCAGTACAAAAGCAATCTATGCAACCAAAACTTTTGTACCCCTGTAACATTCTGAATTAAAAAAATTAAAATGTGACTTTAACAAATTCAACAGAAGAGACGAAACAAAGAGTAAGGAAGATTTCCTGAATGCTATTATTAGGTTGGTACAAAAGTAATGGAGGTTTTGGACAGTGAATTTTAAATCATTATAACTAGGCTCAAACACATCTTTATTAATCAAAATATGAACCATTAAAATCAACAGATCTTTGCCAACGAGAAATAAGTTTATTTATTCCTGTAGCATAAAAATCCATGCTTTGGGATTTGATGAACTCTTGGAAAGCATTTTCTGCCTCCTGCTGGTTGTGGAAGCGTTTTCCCTGCAAAAAGTTGTCAGATGCTTGCAGAAGTGCTAGTTGGTTGGCAAGAGGTCAGGTGAATATGGCGGATGAGGCAAAACTTTGTAGCCCAATTCGTTCAACTTTTGAAGCGTTGGTTGTGTGACATGTGGTCAGGCGTGTTGTGGAGAAGAATTGGGCCCTTTTTGCTGACCAATGCTGGCTGCAGGCATTACAGTTTTCAGTGCATCTCATCGATTTGGTGAGCATACTTCTCAGGTGTAATGGTTTCGCCGGGATTCAGAAAGCTGTAGTGGATCAGACCAGCAGCAGACCACCAAACAGTGATCATGACCTTTTTATGGTGCAAGTTTGGCTTTGGGAAGTGCTTTTGAGCTTCTTCTGAGCTGGTCCTCTCTGGTTATTGCATACAATTCACTTTTCGTCGCACGTCACAATCCAATTAAGAAATGGTTCGTTGTTGCATACGATAAGAAAAGAAGACGCTTCTAAATGACGATTTTTTTGATTTTTGATCAGCTTATGAGGCACCAACTTATTGAGCTTTTTCACCTTTCCAATTTGCTTCAAATGCCAAACCACCACAGAATGATTTTCGTTGAGTTCTTCAGCAACTTCTGTGTAGCTGTAAGAGGATCAGCTTCAATGATTGCTCCCAGTTGGTCATTGTCAACTTCCCATGGCCAGCCCCTGTGCTCCTCATCTTCAAGGCTCTCATCTCCTTTGCAAAACCTCTTGAACCACCACTGCACTGTACGTTCGTTAGCAGTTCCTGGGCCAAATGCGTTGTTGACGTTGCAAGTTGTCTCTGCTGCTTTAGGACCCATTTTGAACTCGAATGAGAAAATCTCTCTAATTTGCCTTTTGCCTAACATCATTTCCATAGTCTAAAATAAATATAAAATAAACAGCAAGTAATAAGTCATCAGTAAATAAACATAAAGTGAGAAATGCCCATTAAAATGATGTATCACATAACCACATCATTTAAGAATGTATTCCAATATTAAACAGCAAATTTCAACAACGCTGAAACCGCAATTACTTTTGCAAACCTAATATTAATACTAATATATGTAATTATAGCAAATATGTAAAATATAATAACTACATATAAATATACTGAAATTGTTAATTAAAGTATAATAAATTATAAAATATAATTATAGCCAAAAATAAAGGAATAGAAAACATTTGAGAAAAAGTAAGAGACTCACCGGATAATAAGAGTGTTTTGCATGCTTGAGCCTTGGGACACAGGGGACCAGTTTGCCCAGACAGTTGCTGCTAACAATGTGACTTATAGTGAACATCCAGTTGCTCCCTCGGGGGCTGGTGTTTAAATAACATAAGTCAGGCGTGTAGGGCTGCACACCTTACTTACTGATCCTTCATAAAAGCCATGGACAGCTGAGCCTGAGCAAGCTTCCCTGGGTGGCAACACTTTGCATGCGCTGTCATGCATCCTTGCTGGGGTAGTTAAGTGCATCTCACGTGACTCCACTGGAAGAGGACAATTGGAAGCTTGGGCCTACTTTTCTAAGGACATGGCCCATGTGCCTTTCCCTTTGCTGATTTTTTTTTTCTGTATCCTTTCACTGTAATAAATCCTAAGTATAGCAGCTTCTGAGTCCTCTGATTCCTCTGGTGAATTTCTGAGGCTGAGGGTGGTCATGGGGACCCCTGACATACCTTCCTTCAAGGGCAGGGATCTCTTTCCTTTGCAGGAACTGTCTGGACTTTATTGATCCATATTTACTTTCCCAACATTTGGCAAGGTTTATAGCACCCAGTCAATCCCCACAGATGAGTTAATTACAAAATATGACCTAGTCAATCATGACCAAGTGGTCACTAACGCCAACATTTCAAGCAGAGGGCTGCATACCTAGGAATATGTCTGACGCCTCTATTTCATCAGTCCCCTTCACCCAGCCCCAGTGACAGACATGGCATGCCTACTAGGTCTCTCCTACTCCTTAAAACAGTGAGTAAGTGGCAAGGGAACCTCATCATTTTATTACTACCACAACCAAGCTGCCAGTGGGGTGGGGTTGTCAGCTCCCCGCAGTTTTCGCTGCAAACCCTCCTTAGCCTGTCCCTCTCAGAAACTGCACAGAACACTGCACGGGAGTCATCTGCCACACAGCGTCAGGAGAAGAGCTCCAGTCCTTGCCCTAGAGCATGTCTCTTAGCTAGAATGTGGCTCCATCTGGGAGGCATGCCTCAGATAATTTAGTAGCAATATTAGAAAATAATTTTGATATTAAAAATACCTGTGGAGTTATTCTCTTTAAAATTCACTCTCACTCATTTATCCTCTGATAAGCTTTCTTGAGCAGGTAAGAGAGAGTTGCAAGTCGTAGATTGTATGTCAACTACACATAGCACACAGCCTTCCTTATATGTGTCAAGCATGAAATAACTATTTAAATTGTTGATTTTGTTAGCCATGTGCCTATAAAATACTTTCATTTCTTTGGCTCCTGGCCCTTACCTCAAATCTATGACCTATTAATTTATTTTCTAAGAAAAGATTTTGAGGTTTCATCATCCTAGAGAAGTGGGTCACACATGTGAAATATTATTTAAATGATAGATATTAGTCTTAAAATGGCTCAAAGTCACAGCACTGGATAGTGCGAAGTTAGATGTATTCCCTACTTTACCACTTTTTCAAGGAAAATTGCATGTTTCAAATTTGTACAGATTGCATACTCACACTGTACTAACATGAGTGACGACAAAGATAAAGGCCATATTCCCACCTTATAGGAGCTGAAAGGCAGTGAGAAGTTTCCATCACATATTAACCCAGGGATTTTATGTTTTTGAGAAAACCTTAACATTCACAAGTCTCTCAAACAGCTTCTCATCTATAAATCACACAGAGTAATTACATGTTTTGTTCAAGACCAGCAAAAGAGTAAGAGAAATAGTATGACAGAACCCAATGAAGCTGCTGGCTCTCCCTTTCTTTCATTAAAATAAGCATTTATTGGGAGGGGGGATGTGTAGGGGGGTATGTGTGTGTGTGATATGTATTTGTATTTTTTAAAAAATAAAAGCAGCATTTCAATTTGTGAACATATCTTCTGTAAATCCTGATGCCATTCCTATTAAATGCATGTTAACTGCTTGGAATCCCAGGCACACACTCAGGTTCATTCCCTTTCTCCTCAGGCAGTTTCCAAATCTACAACCTTTTCATTTTAACAGTCCTCATTACTGGCATCATTTAATACTTGAGGGTTTGCTCAAGTCAATATCAATCTTGCTGATCCTACAAACACTTATTTTGTTGACACAACACAGTCTGAATCCATAGCTACTAGATGTAAAAATTCAAAAACGATTCCTTCCTCCAACATGTCACCAAGTGCTAAGAACAACTCTGTCAGTCACTCAGTCCTGTCATGAAGACATAGCACAGGAGAGACATCAAGCACAGAGCCTTTCATAGGTTCCCACTCCCTTCAATGACGGTGTCATCTCGTCTGTCCTCCTGCTACCCATATGTCCTGCATCTTCTCAAAGACACTTGACACCATTCTCAAGATGAACATGTTTACCTGGAAGACACTTTGTTGGACACATCTGACTCCTACTTCCTCATTAACAAGCAAATCTTTACCACAAGCAAATCTTAACTAATCAGAAGAGGGAGAAGCTCTACCCTCAGAAGGAGCAACAAAAACGCATTCAGAATAAAAATTTCCTCTTCAATTAAGCTTTAAATGTCCTTGGATGACTCCAAATGAAGAAATACGATATCTTTTTACCTGATTGGAAAACCTCATGCTCACATTACGTTGATTCTGTAGTGGGACATAGCGCTGGACAGGATCAATGTCTTTAGGACTGATTAATTCATCAGCTGAAAAAAAAAAAAAAAAAAAAGAAGGGAAGTGACATTACCAAAAATGCATTTGCATAATACTATAAACCAACAAGACATAAGAGACATCTATAAAACAGTCCTCTCAAAAAGAGCAGAATATACATTTTTCTCGGTGCACATGGAACATCCTCCAGGATATACCATATACTGGGCCATAAAATAAGCCTCAATAAATATAAAAGGATTGAAATAATAAAAAGTATATTCTCTGACCACAATGGAATGAAATTAGAAATCATAACAGAAAGAAATCTTATAAATTCACACATATGTAAAAATTAGATAATATACTACTTAATAAACAAGGGATGAAATAAGAAATCAAAACGGAAATTAGAAAATACTTTCTAATGTACTTTCTGATGAGATGAATAAAAATGAAGATACAACATACAAAATTTATGGGATGTGGGTAAAGCAATGCTCAGAGAAAAATTATAGCTATACATGCCTATATTCAACAGAAGAAAAGTCTCAAATCAATAAACTACCCTTCCACCTTAAGACACTAGATGAAAAAGAGCAAACTAAATGAAAAGCAAGCACAAAGACATGATAAAGAGTAGAGTGGAAATTAATGAAACAGAGTATAGAAAACTAACAGAGAATATCAAGGAAATCAAAAGTAGGTTCTTGAAAAGCTGAATAAAATTAACAAAACTTTAGCTAGACTGACCAATAGAGAAGACTCAGATTACTGAATCAAGAATGAAAGTAGGAACATTACTACTGACTTTAAGGATTATAAGAAAATGGTATCAAGAAATGTATGTCAAAAAATTAGATAACTTAGATGAAATAGATAAGTTCCTAGAAAGACACAAACTACCAAAACTGACTCAAAAAGGAATGAACAAACTCACAGCTAGTATCATACCGAACAAGGAAAACCTGAAAGCCTTTCCTTTAAGATCTGTAACAAGACAATGATGTCCACTTTCACTACTTTTATTCAACATGGTACTAGAAGGGCTAGCCAGAGCAATTAGATAAGAGAGAGAAATACAGGGCATCTAAATTACAAAGGAAGAAGTTGAATTATCCTTGTTTGCAGATGATATGATCTTATATTGAGAAAAACCTAAGGAGTTCACCAAAAAACTATTAGAAATGATAAATTCAATAAAGTTGCAGGATAAAAAATCAACATACAAAAATCAATAGCCTTTCTATATGCTAACAGCAAACAATCTGAAAAAGAAATCAAGAAAGTAATCTCATTTACAATAGCTACAAATAAAATTAAATAACTAGGAATAAACTTAAAGAAGTGAAAGATTTCTACAATGAAAACTATAAAACATTAATGAAAGAAATTGAAGAGGACACAAAAAAATGCAAAGATGTTCCATTTTCATGAATTGGAAGAATCAATACTGTTAAAATGTCCATATTACCCACAGCAAGCAAACTACAGATTCAATGCAATTCCTATCAAAATGGCAATTATATTCTGCACAGAAACAGGAAAAAAAATCCTAAAATGTATATGGACTCACAAAACTGTCCTGAGTAGAAAGAACAAAGCTGGAGGCACTGCATTATCTGATTTCAAATTATATTACAAAGCGATAGTAACCAAAACAGCATGGTACTAACATAAAAACAGACCATGACCAATGGAACAGAATAGAGAACCCAGAAATAAATCCAGGCATTTACCGTCAGCTCGTTTTCAACAAAGTTGCCAAGAACATTCATTGGGGAAAGGACAGTCTCTTCAATAAATGGTGCTAGGAAAATTGTATATCCACATACAAAAGAGTGAAACTAGACCCCTGTCTCTTGCCTATATAAAAATCAAATCAAAATGGATTAAAGACTTAAATGTAAGACCCAGAAGTATGAAACTAATATAATAAAACATTGGGGAAACCCCTAAGACATTGGTCTGGGCAACGATTTCTTGAGTAAAACCTAAAAAGCACAAGCAAACAAAGCAAAAATGGACAAAAGGGATCACATCAAACCAAAAAGCTTCTGCACAGCAAAGAAAACAATCAATGAAGTGAAGAGACAACCCACAGAATGGGATAAAATATTTGCAAACTATCCATCTGACAAGGGATTGGTAACCAGAAAATATAAGGAACTCAACTCTATAGCAAAAATACAAATAATCTGATTTAAAAATGGGCAAAAGATCTGAATAGACATTTCTCAAAAGAAGACATATAAATGCTCAACATCATTAGTCATCAGAGAAATGCAAATCAAAACTACAATGAGATCATCTCACCCCAGTTAAAATGGCTTTTATCCAAAAGACAGTCAGCAATGAATACTAGTGAGGATGTGGAGAAAGGGGAACCCTCATATACTGCTGGTAGAAATGTCAATTAGTACAGCTACTATGAAGAACGGCACGGAAGTTCCTCAAAAAACTAAAAATAGAACTACCATATGATCCTGCAATCTCACTGCTGAGTACATATCCAAAAGAAAGGAAATCAGTATATTAAAGTGATGTCTGCACTCCCATGTTTACTGTAGCACTATTCACAATAGCCAAGACATGGAATCAACCTAAGTGTTCATCGATGGATGAATGGAAAAAGAAAATATGTTATATTCACACAATGCAATACTACTCAGCCATAGAAAAAATGAAATCATGTCTTTTGCAGCAACACGCATGCACCGAAGGTCATTATCTTAAGTGAAACAAGCCAGGCACAGAAAGTCAAATAATGCATGTTTTGACTCATAAGTGGGTGCTAAAAAATGTGTACACTTTGATGTGTACAGTGGAATGATAGACAATGGAGACTCAGAAGTGTGAGGAGGTGAGAGGGGGGTGGGCGATGAGAAATTAGTTAATGGCTACAATGTATGTTATTCAGGAGATGGATACCCTAAAAGCCCTGAACTGACCACTATGCAAAATATGCATGTAACAAAATTGCACATAAATTTGTACAAATAATAATTAAAAAAAAAACTGAGCAGGGAGTCAATAGTAAATTTCTCTGCAGCGTTAGGAATATCTATACATCAGAATTCTATTCTGGGATACCTTTAGGCATATCTGCAATGAGATTCAATAAACAAAATCACCAAAGGATTTTTTTAGTAACTCTTAGAGGATCTTTTCCGTTATAATTAAAGTAATACTAATAATAGCATAACACGAAAAATAAGGATGAAGAGCAGTAGCAGAATCTGCCACCGCCACCACTGCCTCTGCAGCAGCAGCAGCAATACTTACACAGTGCTTACTAGGCTCCTGGCATTGTTTAAACATTTCACATATATTAAAGCTCTAATCCTCACAAAAACCTAACCATTTTACAGACGATAAAACTGAGGCACTGAGTGTTTAAACAACTTGCTCATAGTTAGTATGTGGCAGAGGGGGGACACAGTCTGTTTCTGAAGTCTGGGCTTTTAACCATATACTAATACTAGCCTTAAAGAACACTGACATTCTATACAACACAGGTGGAAAAGATATCAGGAGGAGGAAACAATGCAAAGAAAACAATTTAGACCTTGATATATTACATTTTACCTAACCAAATCAAGTCACATGT